CTATCTTTCATTCTGTGTACTCTTCATGACTTATGCTTTCATTTCTGGCAGTTCCCTGTTCATTTTTACTTGCATGATAGCACTGACAGCGTTACTGGTGACTTCTACATTCTGTCAGATCATCTGCCTGAGGAATGGCCTCTGGATAAGGTGATTGACAGTTGCTCCATCAATGGACTCAAACATAGGAGCCATTCTGAGGACAGCACAGACCCAAAGGGTGTTTTGTTCTGCTGTGCACAGGACCACCATGAGTCAGAACTAACTTGACAGCAGAGAACAAAACAGCTCTTATTTGCATTTTCACAGAAGAGAACCTTCCTTATTATACGCGTTTTCTAATAGTGAAAGAACTGTAGGAAAACTGCACAAAGTAAATTAGTCTACCTCCGTGGCAACAGAAGATCTTCTCATCCACAATGGCAGCTATCGGCAGACAGTTAAAACAATCAGTGAAGGTTTTCCATAATTTAATATTAAACCTTCGTTTGCCTATAAAAAGAACAAGCAGGTATTAAATAACAAGAAATAAGCCATCTATATGAGTGCTCCAATCAAAATTTGTGGAAATGAAATTTTCCCACAAACTTTTTGAAGCCCAACATACAAATGTTAACATATTAACCTACCTACATACTAATTATGGCATAACTAAACCTAAAAATTATGACACAACTATTTCTAAAAATCTAAATCTCTTTTCAATTGCTACCTGAAAGCCACTAGATTGTCAAAGAGTCTAATTTTTTTCTTTACGCATATTGAATTATTTAGTACTCTGGGGTTCCCTACCTGATCCTCCATAATTTATCAGTGATACGAGTGTACCTTTTATTTATTTTTCACATATTTTGAACTTTAAAAAAAACCCAACTAGAATATCCTTTAAAATGTACTCAATGTAACAAACATTCAACATGGCCAATAAAGTTTAAAGACTTTCAAAGACTGTGCTAAGGGTTTTATAAAACAAAAGCATCAAACAATTTTGTCTTTTAAGATCACCATTAACAGCAACTTTGAAGCAGTATAATAGACTATTTTTTCCCCCTTCAACAAGGTCTATTTTATTTCACAAACTAACAAGCACCCTCTGTCTATTTGCCAACTGATCCCTTCCTCTGGAAGGTTATTTAATTTTTATCTTTTTAACAGCAAAAGGTTAAAAAAAAATGGCACAGTGATATTTCTGGAAATACCGGGGGTGGGGTTAACATAGATGGGTGGTTGGCAACAGAAGGTATTGTTAATTGCCAGGGCACAATAGGTAAAATACCTAGCCAAATAAGTAAGCAGAAGCCCAAGGGGTGCCTCTGGAGACCGTCCACTGAACACTAAAATACTAAGTAATACAGTGTAAACTTGCTGCCAGAAAGGATAATTCCCAAGTGTTTAACTGGAATTACAGCTTGGCACTCACTGCACCAAGTATATAGATACAAAGGCTGTAATTTTCCTGTACTCTACCATAAACAGGTACAAAGACAAACTCAGGGTTTGTTCACCTTTTTAGCTACTTGATTTTCCTGAATTTGATAATATGTTGCAATAACTAACGCAGGCAAGTAATTAAAAGAGACTCATATTAATTTCCCTTTATTAAGCCCGAGCCTGCCTCCCAAGGAATAAGTATAACTCAAAGCTGAGTTTATAAGCTGCTTTCACACACAATTTTATTTGATATCAGTATCTATTTTTGGTACAATTTTAGGAAGATGGTTCTGAGCTGACATACTAAGCCCATTTCCTCTCGAATGGTCTAATTTAAACACTACGTAACAGAAATAAAAATACAACATAAAAACAAATATTCATTCTCATTAGAGCATAAAATTCCCTTAAAGAACATCTGTCGAACAAACGGCTGTATTCCCAGCGATGAGAAGAGTACCTGCATGTGCCATGTCCTCAAATAGCTGTCATGATTACATGAATCAGAAAGATACAGTAGGTTTTGAAAGGACTATACAATACAAAGGGACTTAGACTGGGTAGGGGTGGGGAAGCAGATTAAGAAAAGAAAAATTCACTCCAAGTTACAGCTAATCAAATATATATGCTCACTGCCATACTCTACCAAGCAAACCCAAAAGAGACCAAGGAAATACTATTATACAAAGAATAGTAGTGACTTCTTACTGGTCAAGAGTATAACAAGGACACCTGAGTACACAACACCCTTGTTTCTCTGGGTCTGTAGGTGTGTATTACAATTCTAGTTAAAACCATCAAGGTAAAATAGTGGCACAGAATTTGCCAATAGTTCTTGTGATACAGGGTTTATAAAGGTTCCACTCACATCACAAGAATGCTGAGCTCAAATGTGGACACTGGAAAACCAGAAGCCAGTCTTTACTGACCCTCTGCTTCGGAACAGTTTGCTCTGAAAACTAATTTAGAGAGCCTTTTCAGCTGAATAAGCTAATGTGCCAACCTGAGAGAAGGGGTGGAATCTAGCCTGTCCATTAGGTCATAGCCAATGAGGCCTCTGTGGGGGCATGGTCTTTTCCTGAGGATTGTGGGAACTCCTGTCTTCCTCCCTGGAGGCGCAACACGCGCTCTTCTCTCTCTGCTGGACATTCCTGTTGACAAACCACATGGAGTTATGCTGACAGCAGCCAAAGCCCTGGAACTGGAGAAACCACTCTCCACACCAGCAGAGATGCTTCCACTGCCACTAGATCCACAAGACTTTGCACTCACTGGCCTGTGATCTTCCTGCATTCAGCACCAATGCATGTGTTGTGTAGTTTGAAGAGGAATTTATAGACTGGTATCGGACATATGGGCCAATATTGGACGAACGGACTTGATCTGAACTGGGATGCTTTCTTAACATATAATTGCTCTTTGATATAAAGCTCTCTCTTATATACATGTGTCTCTGGGTTTGTTTCTCAAGTCAACCCAGACTAACATACCTAACCAGCCTGAAATACCACCAGAGATTCCTAGGACGAATGAGTAGCATTGTTCCTGGGTCTGTGTCTAAGTGCTGAAGCCAAGAAATCTTTGAACTGGAAAGTAAAAAGGGCATTTTCCATTAGTTTTTTTTAATCTTAATTTTTACTTACATTCATCATAGAATCCATAAATGCGATTGATGCTAGCACACTCATGATTTCCTCTTAAGAGAAAGAAGTTCTCTGGGTATTTGATTTTATAAGCCAGTAGCAAACAAATGGTTTCCAAAGACTGCTTTCCTCTGTCCACATAGTCGCCTAAGAAAAGATAGTTGGCTTCTGGTGGGAAACCTCCATACTCAAATAATCGCAGTAAATCTGTATACTGTCCATGAATATCTCCTAAAAATGGAAAAGGTTGGTTTTAGAAAAGATGGTTACTGTTGGAGGAAGCCTCTATTTAATTATCCTCTTGGGTAATTCTCTCCCCTGAGCGTGGGCTGGGCTAGTGACTTGTTTCTATAATAAGACAAAACCAGAGACTGTCACTCCTGAGATAAGGCAACAAGACAGTGACTTCTACACTGTTCACAAGCTTGCTCTGATGAAGCCAGCTGCTATATGGAGAATCTCAGGTGGCAAAGGACTGAATCCTTCGCTAGATGACCCTGGAGATGAATGCAACCAGCTGACCCTTCCATTGAGTCTTGTGAGAGAACGAGGACCCACCTAAGCTATACCCAGATTCCTGACCCACAGGAAATGTGGGCTAATACATCATTTAATCCACAAAGTTCTGAGGTAATTTACTATACAATAACATAATACCTTTTCTTGAGTAATTTAGCTTCAATAATCTGTTATTTTGAATCCTAAGACATTAAGAATTTAGAAAAATGTAGTATAAATAATTTTGATTGCATTCTATATTAAAGTACTTTAAAGAATATTTTGCCAAGACTTTTAATCATTTTATTTTTAAAGTCACCTATAAGTAACTACATTAAACTTCATTAAAACTCATAGCAAGGATGATCATTTTCACAAAACTTAAAAACTAGTACTTCTTAAAGGTGATATGAGCAGATCCATTGAACCAACCAACCTTTACTCAGCTACTTTCTCTTTTGTTCTGGACTTAAGAACCCATGTTTTAATAAACCTCATGAAAAAGAGATAGTAAAAAGTATTCAAGGAGCACACTAAGCACATGCAGGTTACAAGGTGTGACCGTGGAGCCTAAGAAACATGCAACAGAGGAAAAACAAAACCATTGTGAAAAATCCTTGACTGAGCACATTATAGCTATTGTCATCCACATGAGAGCACTACAAAAAAGCTTACACAATCAAATAAAAACCTAGCATGATACAGTGTTTACAGCATGCTTCCTCCTGTTCGGATGTGAAAAACAAAAGCATATATATTTTTAAGTTTTATAAACAATCTTCTAGCTAAGATTTTACTTTTGGTCAAAGGCCATGGTAAGATTTATAAGAACAAATTACATTTCAAAACAAACGAACCTAACAACAAAGTTGGAAGAGTGGCCCCCAAAATTCTTACCAGTATCTTATAAAGTCTGTTTTGCCATACCCCTCGATAATATTGGATGTCGATCTTAGACACTTTTGGTCATTTCATTTAGGTTGGGAGCTTATTTTAAATTGTACATCCTTGATTACTATAAAGCTGAGAATCTATGTTATTTGTTTTCTTTCAAGATCTGTCGCTTTCAATTTGGGGGTAATTTCCTACTGCTTTCTTTCTTTCCTATTTATTTCTAAGAAATCTTCATAGACTGCATACATAACAAATATTTTGTCTGTAACTTACCATTTTAATAAATCTTGATTTTTATGAAATTAAACCTACAAAATTTCCCCCGTAAACAAATTAAAACATTTTTTTCTCTAGATCATTCTCAAGACAAACAAGGAAAGAAAAATCCAAGTGATTCACAAAAAAACTTTGCAACTTTGTTTACATACCACAAATTTTCAGTGGTGCTTCCAATTCCAAAAGAATAGGCTGGCTGAGAAAGATCTCCCGAGACTTGATACATAAGCCCCGAACTTCTGCTTCAGTCATCTGCACAATTTTCCCTGGACGACATCCTCGTACTGATAAACAATGAGTAAAATGGTCAATTTCCTACAAATAATCCTGAAAAAGATTCATTACTTTGAAGAGCAGAAAAGGCATACAGGCAGCAAACTACCAGATCCCTTGTTCCCTGTGCGCTTTGGTTTCTCTATTGCTGGCACCTGTGGACACTTTTTAAGCCTGCTGTTATCAACATGCAGCCTTTTTTTCACTCCCTGGCCAGCGTGAGGCCTAAGAGCCCAAGTGGTCTGAAATGTCTCAGGGACAGCAAGCGCCTTGAAACTACCAGCACTGCGTGAGATGCACCTAGCAGAAGACCAGAATCAGTGGCTATGAAGAAAGGGAGAGTCATAAGTAGCTGTTAGCAGGTGACACGTCTTGAAATACTATTAGCAGTACCAAGAATTTTAGCAAACATGACCTCCATTTTGCTCAACCCAAAACCCTAAAACAGCGGTGCTCACACTTTTTCATCATGCAAGCCACTTACAAAGTGATCAAGTCAAAATGATCTACCAACTACGAAAATGCAAAACATTTATTTATATTTATTACATTTACTCATAAATGCACTGAGAATTTGTTATATGTACAATGTATGTCTATGTACTTTGCATAACTGCATGAGTCCATATTGCACAACACAATTAACTATGTACATTTTTGTCATTACCTGAGTTTACTCTGATGACTTGCACTGAATGGAATGAGCCAGGGATGCATAGTCCAGACAGGAGCTGCTGTCAGCCAGCCTCAAGCACTTCCAAATGATCATCAGTTATGGTGGAACGGTACTTGGACTTAGTGATCTTTATGTGGGAAAGGCTGACTCACATAAATAAGTAGAGCCAAATAATGCAGTCAAAGAGGTAGCATATTTTCTCATGTTTGGGTACTTTCCCTCTGAGAGTAAGTTCCAGAACTGTTGGACTTCAGCTGAATGTCGGCTTGGCAAAATCTCCCATTCCGTATGAAAGTGATATGTTTTTGTCTTCTTACTTGGTCCAGCTCCCCTACTCATCTTAATATACCCTTTCTTATGTTTAAGAGAAAAAACCCAAGGTCTTAAAAATTGACGATTAACTTAGCTTGTCAGTTTTGCTGCATTTAGCGCAGCTGTTTGCACATGCATTTGACACCTAAGATTGCATCTGATTGGCTGATTAAGTGATGGGATTGGTTATAGGCTTACGTCTCTTTTTTTAATGCCATACTCACACTACATTTGCGATCGATTGTTGAGCACCCCTGACCTAAAAGATGTTAGATGCTTCTATAAGGAGTCTTGGGGGCACTAACTGCAGGGTTAGAGATTCAAATCCAGTGGCTTTGAGGAAGAAAAATGAGGCTGTCTGCCCCCTTTAGATTTGCAGCCTTGAAATGGACTTGAAGGCAGTAGATGTATTTAATGAATTGTTGTGGTCACAATAGAGCACTGTATAAAAAAACCTCTAAAGCAGCGGTTCTCAACCTTCCTAAGCTGCGACACTTTCATACAGTTCCTCATGTTGTGGTGACCCCCAACCATAAAATTATTTTTGTTGCTACTTCATACCTGTAATTTTGCTGTTATGAATCGGGTGACCTCTGTGAAAGGGTCGTTGGACCCCCCCAGAGGGGTCTCGACCCACAGGTTGAGAACCGCTGCTCTAAAGGTTATTTATTTAACTGGAGTAAATCCCTATTAACATGAATGAACTATGGCTATTCAGTAATTGGCAGAGTTGGGTGAAGTAGAATGAATGGTATATGAGAGGGGTGTCTTGCTCTATAGGACTGAACTTGTAATTATTTCATCTTTACCTACGCCACTGGCTCCTTCTCTTTAATCTTAAATATACCACCAGTTCCCATTTAATCTTAACTGAAAAACAAAAATCAGAGACTGGATTTCGATATACTTTTATTCCTTCTCATTTCTAATTTCATAGCAAAGTCAACACATTTCTTGCTAAAGTGTGTTATGAGTTGGTTAGGTGAGCATCAGATAGACATTTAAAAAACAAACAAAGCCACGTCCCTAGATCCAAAAGCTAAGTCTATTTAAACATTCCATTAATGTAAACCTTTCAAATAGTCAACATGACTCCTATATTTACTCTAGATTTTAAATAACCATTCATTTATATGACTATCCTTGTAACTGAGGAACCAACAAGAGCACTGTGGATTAGGCTCTGGGTTGCTAATTGAAAGGTCACAAGCAGCTTCTAGGGAGAAAGATGAAGCAGTCTTCTCTTATAAAGAGTGACAGTCTTGGAAACCCTAATATAGGTTCACCATGAGGGGTAATTCACGACTGAAAACTGTAGTTCTCACAAAGCCTATGTACGAGCCAAAGGCCTGTGTGCTTCCGTTTAAGGGACCATTATTCATTCTGAAGGATAAAGATCTCTGATAGTTTTCAGATGACATACACTTAGAAAGCTCCTGATGATTAAAAAGAGATGAATCCATTCAACAAATACCTGAGAAACTCACTAGTGTTCATGTATAAAACAAAACACCTTTAATAATAAAATACTTCTTAGGGTATTAAAATTTCAATGCATTAAGGTAACTTTAATGTCTGAGTTTGCAGTGTTCAAGGTACAATGTTAAAATTTTGTCTCATATTTGTTTTGTTTCCTAATTTAATTATATACTGGTTTAAATTTGGCTTCCCAAGTGAATAATTTAAGTTAATGAGATACACTTAACTTTTAAGCCATACTACTAAACCACAGAAACTAAAAATTTATCATAATAAAATTACACACCAGAAAAGTATCTTGAATTCCACTGCTCTAAATGCACTTTCCTTCAATTAATTCACTTAAAGCTAAGAGATAACATGCAATCAATAGCCGCTGGGGGAAACTGGCAGTACCCAGGCCTGCCTCACTCTCCATTGTCTTTTTCGTCTATTCCAGCTTACATGGGTGTTCCTGTGGGTGAGACTGAATCTTTACAGGAGCACACGGCCCTTTAGTGGCACATAAGATAAAGGTACACTTCATATTCAACGGCAGTTTAACAGTTGCTGAGATGCAGTCCGAAGTGAATGGTTCTTTGATCCTTCCAAAGGAATGGTCCTTTGGAATCATGAGCCAAATGTTTAGGAAAATGGGGTAGAGGGCTTAGAGTGCTTCCAGTCGTCTCCAAGAACATTTCAAATTTATCACCAAAACAAAACAAACAAAATTACCAAATTCATTGCCATTTATCACAGTTATCTAAAAAAATGAAAAAACTTGAACCACCTATTGTTCTATACAGTAACTTGGTCATTATTATGACAATTGCCCCAGGATTTCAGTATTTGGGGCATGAGGCTAGACAGTAAGTGTCTTCATGGATTGGGAAAATACAATAAACCTACATATATCCCTCGGTACAAAGCAATTTTGCATTGGTCATCTCATTTAATTCTTTGGCTAATCTAAGAGATTAGTTAGAAATTATATACCCACTTTACATTATTAAGAGATTAAATAATTTACACAAATTCACAAGCACCCAGGTTTCCTAACACTGCATGGAGTAAAAAGGTAGCAGAGTATTTAGAATATAAACTTCTACTTTACATTAATATTTTTGACCAGAAGAAAAATATTTCAACATATTTTGATGTTAAATTACTTATTTAAGGCAATTGGGTGATCGTGAGGTGTCGAAGGGATCGGGTATCAAGAATCAAAGAGCAAAAAATCATATTGTGGATGAGAGGGAGTGCAGATTGGGGACCCAAAGCCCATCTGTGGGCAATAGGACATCCCCTTACAGAAGTGTCCCCAGTCAGGGTGCAGTGTAGCAATGATGAAACATACAACTTTTCCTCTAATTCTTAAATGCTTCCCTCCTTGTCCCCCCTCCCCCACCCCCCACTTTCATGATCCCAATTCTACCTTACAAATCCGGCTAGAGCAGAGGATGTACACTGGTACAGACAGAACTGGAAACAAGGAATCCAGGACAGATAATCCCTTCAGGACCAGTGGCTTGAGTGGCGATACCAGGAGGGGGAAGGAGAGAGGGAAAATGGGGTAGAAAGGGGGAACCAATTACAAGGATCTACATATAGCCCCTTCCCCTGGGGGACGGACAACAGAAAAGTGGGTGAAGAGAGATGCCAGAGTGTAAGCTATGACAAAATTTTTTAAAAATCTATAAATTATCAAGCGTTCATGAGGGAGGGGGAAAATGAGGAGCTGATACTAAGGGCTCAAGTAGAAAGCAAATGTTTTGAGAATGATGAGGGCAACTAATGTACAAATGTGCTTGACACAATGGATGTATGTATGGATTGTGATAAAGAGTTGTATAAGCCCCCAATAATTTTTTTAAAAAATTTTAAGGCATTGCATTATTTTTATGTACAGGGTAAATTATAACAGACATTTCTTATACTATTACTACTTAGAATTTCTTTTGAGATAGTCCATACACAGTAACCAAAGTACATTAATCTTAAATGCACAAATTGAAGAATTTTCAACTATGTACACACTTGAAGGACCACACCTAGATCAAGTACAGAACACTCCAGAAGTCAAGACTTCCTTATATCCTAACCACCACTCAATAAATTCCATGTACACTGCTATACTCTTTTCACTATTGATTACCCTATGTACTCGAGCATAAGCGGAATTTTCCAGCACATTTTAAATGCAGTTTTTGTGGTAAAATTAGGTGCCTCGATGGATGTTTGAGTTAGCATATATTCGAGTACATATGGTAATTTGGCCTGCCTTTGATAATTTCAGATAAAAATACAGTATATACTCTTATGAACCTGTAAAATCTATGATATTCCACTTAGAAGTCATTTGGAACAATTCCATTATATAAATACAACACATCTATCCACTTAATACCAGTAAGGTTTTACTTACTTATTTATTTTCAGTTTAATATTGTTGGTGGATATTCGGGTGTTTTCCAGTTTGGTGCTATTATTCACATAAATGTCTCTTGGGTATAGACCTGAGAGTAGAATTACTGGGGCATATACAGAACTTAAGCAGATACTGCC